AAAAAAAAAAAAAAAAAAAGATGTTTCTTCTTGGGGCTGGAGAGATGGTTCAGTGGTGTGAGCATGGACTGCTCTTCCAAATGGACCCTGGTTCAATTCCTAGCACCCACACGGTGGCTCACAACCATCTGTAACTCCAGTCCTAGAGGATCCGACAGCCTCCTCCCTCCTCTGTGGGCACTGAATGTACATGGTGCACAGATACAGGCAGGCAAAACATCCACATACATAAAAATAAATAAACCTTTGAACGAGGCTTCTTCTCTTAGGGCACATGGTGTCTCTAAAGCGGATAGGGCAACTTAAGGGAGAAGGCTGTACTCTGGCTCAGTTCAGGACAGTGTGGCGTCGCAGACGCAGGCACCTGGGACAGGTGCCCATACTGCCCGGCAGTCAAGCAGAGAAGAGTTGGGTACTACTGCGCAGCTTGCTCTTCTCCATCCTATACAGTCCCAGATGCCCTGCCGAGGGAATCGTCCCAGTCACAACTTAGATGGCTCTTCCCACATCGATTAATTCACTTACATTAATCCCCACAGGCATGCCCAGAGGCCATCGGTGAAATGTTAATCAGACACTAGGAAAGCCGCTGTGGTGGGGAGGCTGGCCTTGCACAGGACACCTGCTGGAATCGGGCGTGCTCTCACAAGTGTGCCACCCAGCGTGTGAAGACATTCATGAACAATGACCAACCTCAGGAGTGCTGAGAAGAACGGCCCCATCTGAGGTGCGTTGTCTTTCCCTACACTCTGGCAGTTGCCAGCCCGGATGCTCTCAGAGGTGACTGACCACTAACACAGCCATACACCACCTTTCCCTCGCTCTCTACTTCTGGCTCCTGGGACTCCCAGGCTCTGCTTTCCAGGAGGTACCAGCCTGGAAGAAATCTTTTCCAACATGGAGGGTTGGCCATCTGCCCCAGTACAAAAACTTTCAAGAACCAGAATGTTGCTTCAGTATCACCTTCCCCATCCATGACAGATCAAAGAGGGAAACACCTATGTGGATTGGCATTTTAGGAAAAAAAATTATTGTCAAAATTCCCTATACTCACTCCCTCTCTGTGGACCTTTTGTAAGGACTCGTCGCTGGCTCTGAACAGGCCACACTGTGCCTGAAATGGTCCAAGTGCTAAAATGCACCATGCATACATAGTATTTCCTTTCTGTGCTCCCCCACAGGAGCCCAGGAGAGGGGGGTGACAGAATACTCTCCAGAAGTCTGAGAACTGTTGAGCAGTTCTGGGGGCTGCTCATCCCCATCCTCCAGCTGACGTTGCAAATGCAAAAGATCCACTCACACATCGTTGAACTCCTCCAGGGACCTTGCAGGTGTAAACACGTCCAACAGACCGATGACCTGCAAGAACACATAAAAATGAAACAGTAGGAAAGCAGTGGGCTCCTACAGTGCCCATTAGTCTACAGTGTAAAGAGGACTAATTCCAAGTCCAGTTCCACCCGTGTGCTTAGTAATGACTTGCTACCCACACTGCGTTTCTGTTTTACACTCGTTAACATCATTTCTTTTGGGGGGTTGGGGGTGTGGAGACACCGTCTCATATGGCCCAGGCTAGCTTGGACTCCTGATATTCCTGCCCCCACCTCTCAATGCTGGGATTACAGGTGTGTGCCACCACCGCCAGGCAAACCCACTAATTTTTTAAGGCCAAATATTATCTTAATATATTGATCTTATTGCTATGATAGTCTCAAAATAACCTTAATTAGCAGGTGTTTAGATCAAATGATTTAAAAACAAAAAAGAGCTAGCAGCAGCACCAGTGTATGCATTTCACTGATTGAAAATTAACATGGATAGTGCCACCATGGGATGTTGGTCCGAGGTTCTACCAGAAAGCAGGCTAAGCGGGCCAGTAAGCAGTAGAACTAACCTAGAAGTCAATCTTTAGAAAGGATTTCACAGCAAAGATCTCTAATTATTCTACAATGGTCCAAAAGTTGCCAGTCTGAAATAATACATTGTTACTAAACTTGGCACCCAGGTAAGCAACCTCTTGCTCTTCACAGTAAGGTCAGACCCTGGCTCCTGACACAATCTTTGAGGATTTGTTGTTAAATTCAAGCTATGCAGTCCCCGGAGACATAACCATGAAGACAGCCACTCAGCAGCCGGCCCTCGCAGCAGGTGCATGAGAGCAGGGTCGCAAGTTCAAGTCAAGAACAAGCCAGCACGCCTTTAATCCCAGCACTGGGGAGGCAGCAGAGCCTGTAAGTCTGAGGTCAGCCTGGTCTACAGAGCGAGATCCAGTACAGGCACCAAAGCTACACAGAGAAACCCTGTCTCAAAAAACCAAACAAACAAAAAGAACAAGCCAGCTGACTCTGCTCAGAGTGACTCAAACAGCCACAGAAGACATGTTCTAGTTCTGGGTACCCACATAGCGACTGTGTCTCTGTCACTTGCTACCATTATTAGTTTTTTGTATAAAAGAATGGATATTTGTTACGGCCTCTAAGAGCTTGGTTAGCTTGGTTATGGCTATTGCTACTCTCTTTGGAGGCCAGGCAAATTTGCTGGAAGTTTCGTTTTTTTAAAATATTTAGAGTGTGTGTGTGTGTGTGTGTGTGTGTGTGTGTGTGTGTGTGTGTGTGTGTACACGCATGCTCGTGTACTGCAGAGGCCAGAGGGAGGCGCTGGATCCTCCAGAGCTAGAATTACAGGCAGTTGTGAACCACCCAATGTAGTTGCTGGGAACCTCTACAAGAGCAGCAAGTGCTCCTGGACTCTATCTCCTCTCCAGGCCCAAGCCTTGGTCCTTCACTGCATAAAACTGTTTTTACATTTTAGGTGCCCAACAAATGTTTGCAGGGTAGTCTGAAAGGTGAGACAATTTCTACATTAAGTTTAAGTCTTCTGGTCTTTTCCCATTTCCCCTTCAAACATGTCAGTAGAAAAGAAAACTGAGACATTCAACATGTTTTGTTAAAAAACAAAAACAAAACCAAAGCATGGGGCTGGAGTGGCTCAGTGGTTCCAATCCAGCTAGGGCCACATGGTGGACCCTGTCACCAACCAACCAACCAACCTTCAAAAGACAGAAACCACCAATACCTGAGTATAGGGCCTTTGCTGCTAGCACCTGACCATCCTGATACACAAAGACAGAGCTGCTAAAAACCAGCACACATCACCCAAACCATCTTCTAGGGTTGCAGGGTGGCTCAGCCGTCCTTCTAGGGACAGAGCTCCGTCCTCAACAACTGATCAGGTGTCTCACAAGCATCTGTGACTCCAGATCCAGGGGATCCGAGGCCCTCTTCTGTCCTCGATGGCCCCGCACACATGTGCATGTACTCCCACAAATATGGATACAGAATTACCAAACTTTTAAGAAATAAAACTCCACCTTTCTTCAAAACTTTTTTCTCATCATTTTGTGTGCATGGGTGTTTTTATGTACATTATGTCTACGAACCACGTGTGCACAGTGCTAGGTGAGGCCAGAAGCAGGCATTAGAGCCCCTGGGACTGGATTCACAGACCACTGTAGGCCTTTGACATCCTATACACATGTGGACACACGCATACCCACAAAATAAAGAGATACATACAAAGACAGGTACCAGGGCTGGAGAGATGCTCGGCAGTTAAGAGCACTGGCTATTCTTGCAGAGCAGCCAGGTTCGGTTCTCAACACCCAAGTGGTGGCTCATAAGCACCTGACTCCAGTTCCAGGGAATCTGACATCTTCTGGCCTCCAAGGGTCCTGCTCCCCATGACGCACATAAACTCAAGCAAGCAAACACGTATTACAGAAACTATATGTATATTTTTTTAATTAAAATTAAAAAAAAATTGAATGCATCTTAAGATCCTGGACTAAAACTTCAACTCTGGGAAGAGGCTCCACATCCTGGGGTTTGAACTGAAGGCCCCATGGCACAACACAGAACACTCAAGCAGCAGAAAGCAAACCCCACCACGGGCTACATGTCCACCACGTGCAGTGATGCACCCAAAGCCCCGCCTGTGAAGGACAGGAGTGACCCACATTCTCGTGCTTCATGTGCTTCAGCAGGCGCAGCTCCCTGTAGGTCCTTTTGGCGTGGATGATGGACTGAAAGGGTCTCGACAGCTTCTTCACGGCCACACGATGCCCCGTCTTCGTGTCAAAAGCAGCACTGAGGACGGAGAACAACAAAAAACCCACCATTAATCGTGCTCCAAATACTACTTCTAATACTTCCACGGCTACTTCATTTCCAAGTTCAATGTGTGGCTGGACACAACAAGAAAAACAGAAACTAAGATTAAGACTACAATGACTCATCACCCACTGCCCCAAAAGACTCCAATTTATTCCTGATGCTTCTTTCTGTCTCTTCTGTATTTTCCAGAGAGGAGCAGAGTAGTATTTTAGACTCTCCAGACCCTAGATAAGGGCCCTGACGCTCAGCTTGCAGTTGTCGCCTGAAAGCAGCCAGAACATAAGAGCATACACATGGGTGTGGCTATGTTGTAATGAACTCGTGAAGCCAGCCAGGCAGCCACCTGTGCAAGGCAGACAACACACAGACCATCTCTGTGTGGACCCTGTGCCCAGGCCTCTGTCACCTAGCTACTAGATAGATGTCGGTCAAAAGGAAGGCCTCCGAAACTACCCTGCTTTCAGGAGAATGAGCTCTTCCACAGTGTTGGGCACTGCACAGACTGAGGTACAGTGGGAAGCCCCCCTGGGGGGAGAGGGGCAGAGAGAATAAACACAATAGTGATGGACACAGTGACCACAGACTAAAACCCAGAGGGAGAGGAGCACCATGACGCCAGGGCAGCAGTGTCACTCTTCTAAGATGTGGCGTCAGAACTCTCCCTTACTCCAGGGGTCCCCCTCTCACCCCCAGACCTATGGATCCTCACATTAGACACCAATGTGATCCATGTAACACTCCTGGAATCCCCATCTTCCTTTCTGCCCCTTCTCTACCTCTCTGTGGAAGCTAGCTGACCAGACACGTCTCAAACAGTCCCGCCATCAGAGGGCGCTCTCTCTGCAAGGCACTTTCCTGTAACACCGGTGTCTTCACATCATTTCAAAACTACTACTTCCCATTTGCTTTCCAAAAGCCCTGCTTGCTATTCTGAAAAAACCCTCAGCCCTGCTGCTGTTATCTACTGCCTAGAATTTTCCATCACCCACCAAAAGTCTGTTCTATCAGCAGAGCAGCCCTCCATTCCCAACTTCTGTCAACATTCTTGGCAACTGCGACGTCCAAGTGGAGGGCACATCCAGCGTCCTGTTTCCTGACCTCTCAGGAAACCCCACCTCGTGCGGCCACCCTCAGGCCCACTCTCCAGCCCCGCCTACTTTTCAGGTTGCTTTGGTCTGCCCCACTTGACTGCAGCTCTCTCCTGCCTTAGGGGGGCCCTAACTGCTCCAACAGTGACAATCACTCCCTTGTTTGTCCCCCTCCCTTGGATACAGCCTAACCCTGGGTGACCCCAACCACTTAATGACCTGTGTCTGAATCCAAAGAACTGTGATTGAAGAAAAAAAAGAATGCACAATCAGACTGGTTGAAAATTTTAACTTTGGCCTTGGGGATTTAGCTCAGTGGTAGAGCGCTTGCCTAGCAAGCGCAAGGCCCTGGGTTTGGCCCTCAGCTCCAGAAAAAAAAAAAATGTTTTTTAAATTCTGAACATAATTCCAAATATGCTCTAAAATAGTGCCATTTCTTCATAAGGGTATTTTCTCCTCTAAAATAATCACTTGACATTTTTGCTCCCAGCTGCCCTCAGCCAATGCTCTCCATGGCCTCTCTTGCTCTAAGGCGTCCCCTCTGATCAAAACCCCAGGCTGACAGTGTTTTGAGCTGTCCCACATCTTCTCAGGGATATTCCTGCATCCCCTTCTTTCTCTGTAATACTGGATTATACCATTTATGTGCGCACACACGGGGGAGGGCAGGGATTCGGGGTGCGGATGGACAGAATGACAGAGACAGGCTGGGAAGTGAATCCAGGGATGTGGGTGGTAGGCAAGCACTCTTCCACTGAGTTATAAATACATCCCTCTACGGGGTCACTCATTGCAGAATATGCTCTAGACATCCCCATCTCCACTAAACCCTTTGACGACTCCCCACCGTGGTTAAGAAGTTCTCCACACTCTCAGGGGGTGGGAACCCCTCATGTTAGCCTCACCCGAGGATTTAAGAAACTGAACACCCTCCGAGAGCTGCAGATCAGGAACCGCAGAGGCCGATGGGTCCGCATTTCCTCAGCCCTCATGCACTGCAACAAGAGCTCCGAACCTAGGCCTCTACTGGTCAAAGTGTCCTCTGGGGACCAGAGGCCCTGGCACTGCCAGAGAGTCCACCGGGAAGGCACAAGTTCTCTTCAGTTTGAGAAGCACAGCTCTAATTACGGTGCTTGTTCCCAGCTCCCACTCCTCCTTCAGTCCTGCCTGCTGGAACCGCTGCTCTCCTCAGGTCCACTACTGGCCTCTAACCAAGCACAAGGACCACTTTTCTGGATTAGCATCTGGCATGGGTACCACTTTCCCTTCCTCTTATTAATCCCTGCAGACATCCATAGTAACATTTCTACAGTTTTTTAGGACCTTCTCTGCATTGTATACTTCTTCAGGGGATGTCCCAGGCCGCCTTCTACATCTCCTGAGGACCGCCTCTGTACCTATGTTCAACATGGAATGTCCTCCACAGGCACATGTGTTAAACACCCGATTCCCAGCTGGTGACACCACGGTTTCCTTCTGTTACTGTTGTCAGAAAAAGTCTCATATAGCTCAGGTTTGCCTTAAACTCACTATAACTCCTTGATAGATGACCTTGAACTCCTGATCCTTCTGGCCTCGACCTCCAGAACACTGGAACCACAGATGTGCCACTGGGTCTCGCTTGAGAGAGCCTTAAAAATTTAGGAGGTGGGAGGGCCCAACCCGATGGCTCAGTGGGTAAGGGTTGGGCCTGACAGCCTGAGTTTGATTCCTGGAACTCAAAACAGTAGGAGAAAACCAACCGAAAAATGTCCTCTGACCTCCACCCATACACACTAAAGAAATATAACTCTTTTATTGTTGTTTTTACCTAGGAGGTAGAACTTAGCTGGAAGGAGGCTGCTTGGTTGGGCATCTTATCGGTTCTGTCCCCATGATGCTCTGCTCAAGTTTAGGGTCCAGGCAACCACAGACTGAGCCCTGTGCAAAGGAGGTCAAGTAACCTTTGGTCTCTAAACTACTCCTGTCAGGCCTTGGTCACAGACGAGACAATTAACTACACAGCCCAAGTTAAACGCCATCGATAAACGTAAGACCGCCCCCCATCCCCCTTCCTGAAACCTCCTCTCTAGGTGGCTGCACAGCAGGCAGTCCTGGGGAGAGACCGTGAGCACTGACGACTTCCACAACTGTCCCCTCTGTCACTGTCACTGTCACACCAGGTGATGTCCATCCAGTTGCTCCAGCCAGGCCAGACATTTGAATGTCACCCTTGCTCAGCGGGTAAAGGGGCTTGCCACCAAGCCTGATGACTGGAGTTCAATCCTACACGTTGTCCTCTGTCCTCCCTCCACACTTGGGCTTGCTCTCCCGTCCCCCTCACACACACACAATTTCAAAATAATAAATAGGGCTGGGCTGTGGTGGTGCACACCTTCAATCCTAGCACTCCGGAGGCAGAGGCAGGCAGTTCCAGGACAAGCAAGCGCTACACAGAGAAACCCTGTCTTAAAACATAAGTAATATAATAATAAATAAATAAACAAACAAACCATGACTATTTTAAACTGAAGGAATTTCCTTGGTGTAGAGGATAAGATGCAAATTTTCTACCATGGCCTAAAGCTCAGATGAGATGACCTGATCCCACCGCGCACGCAATCAGTGGTCTCCGTATGTGCTCATCCGTCAGGACCATGTCCTCCCCCCACCCTAGGCTGCTCTGGGTGTACTGGCTTCTCTCAGTTCCTTAAACTATTTGGACAGGCTGCTACTAGAGTTCTTTCACCCTACCCCCACCCCACCCCACAACTAAAGCTTATTCTTCAAGTACTGGTTTAGTCACTCCCTCAGATGTACCTACTTGGCCTGAGGCAGACCCCCTGTGAGCCTTACATTCCTGTGTTTCCATAAACCCCCAAGAAAACAGCCTTCCTCTGCCGCAGTGTGTAAGCCCTCACTACTCTTTACACTAAGTTCTCTAAACTGGTTCCAAAGTGGGGAAATGGCCACGGCTCCTACATGATGTGGCTTCTTCAACTTCCGCCCTGAGTGTCCTGCCTAATGCAGCCTTTGTAACTGTCCTCTCCTGGGATGAACCTGCGGGGAGCAGGGTAGGCCAGCAGGAGCGACTGTGTGCACAAGTTCATTTCGGCTGGGGAAACACGGCGGCTGGTCCATCACAACCAACCCACCAGGCCATCCTGCAGCTGGTCCATCACAACCAACCCACCAGGCCATCCTGCAGCTGGTCCATCACAACCAACCCACCAGGCTATCCTGCAGCTGGTCCATCACAACCAACCCACCAGGCTATCCTGCAGCTGGTCCATCACAACCAACCCACCAGGCTATCCTGCAGCTGGCTCCTGAGCAAGGGATACAGGTTCTGCCCATCTGACTCCAGTAACTGGCCAGTGGATGACAAACACTTCACCGGGACCCAGCAGCCCCCAGTAATCACAATGATTAGTGTATGTTTATTTACCACCCACCAGGTAGTTAAACAAGGGCTGGGCTCTGGAGGTAGACTATCTGGGTTTTAATACCAACTCTGCCACTTAATAACCGTATAATCTTGAGGAAGTTAATTAAATTCTATCGACCTGATATATAAAATAAAGATGATATTTGTATCTATCTAATCTAAGGTACTAGCTTTTATGGCAGGTTTAACAAAACCCTAATTTTGTAAAACTCAAATATCAAACATTAATAATGGCTGCTATTGCCACTCACCCTGGGCATCTCGAGGGCAAGAAGTACATTTGTTTCCCTCACCATCATGGTACAAAAGACTTAATTCCTGGCACACAGGACATTCTCCAGAACTGCTTAACAAAAAACATACCACAGAGTATTTTATACTGTAGTTATTTTGAGATAAGAAAGAAAAGCCTCAGTTTCCTCAATTGGCTCTGAACAGTTCCCTCAGGGTTGGACATA